TAGAGGAACACCTCTATTACCACCAAAAAGTCATCCAGGTCAAAAAAAAAATTTCAAAAAAAATTCAATTTTTCTTAGGCAGAAGATTTTATTGCATATTCTTGCACAAAATACACCTAAAAGTGTAGAAAAAAATTGACTATATGGCTTTCGGTCTTGGGCCACGAAACCCTAAGAAACGAGTGAATCAAAAATAAAAATTGAATACTGAAAAATTTATAATATGAAAATAAAAACGAAAAGTAGATTATAAATAAGCTATATAAAAATATAAAAAACAAAATAAAAAAAATGAAATAAATAAATAAATATATAAAAAGTATAAAAATGTATCAAAAATTTTTTTATTTTATTTTACTTAAATTTTTATAATCTTAAATGAAAATAAAAAAACTAAAACTAAATAAACGGTAAACGGGACAATTGATTTATGAATTATAGATGGAAAAAATAAATTTGAAACAAAGATTATAAAAATGTATTTATATTTTTATATTCAAAAAAATGTTTTTTAATTATTAAATATTTAATGTAAAAAAAAGATTTTAAATAGATTAGCAAATTGATGAAAAGACGAAAAAAAAGCTCTTGTGGGGAAATTGGTATACAGACACGAAGGAATTAAGTTTGCGAAAAAGAGAGAGAGAAAAAAAACTTTTCACACCATCCAAAGTAGGTAAATAATTCTTCTTTGGAGGTAAATCTCAACTTCTCAGCTTTGGCTCCTTGGGGCGGTTGCACGACTTGTTCGTCGCCTGAAGCTGTAGCTGGTATTATCGTATCTGTGTCATGTTTGTCTCGGTCTTTAGTGCGCTAGTTAGAATTTTATCATTGGTACTACTTTGCAAGATGCTCTTTTAAAAAAAAAAATAAATAAAATAACTGTTCTCTTTTTTTTAAACAAAGACTTCTCTTTAAAAAAAAGGCTTCTCTTTTAATGAAAAAAACTTCTTTTTTGAAAAAAGTATTCTTTATAAAAAAAAATTTTTTTTTTTAAATTCTCACTATTTTTTAACAAGAAAACAAAATTTCACATATAGAAGAAAGAATAATTGCACACTTTAATTTTAGTTTGCATCTTATTTTAATTTCAAAGAAAAATTAATTTTGTTGAAATTATTCTTTTCAATATTATATTCAATATATTTTCAACTTTTTTTTCAATTTTATTTTTTACCTGTTCCTAAATCTAAATAAATAATTTTATTATTTAGACAAACAGATATTATTTAATTTTACCATATAGAGCAAATTATTATTTTGTTTTGATATTGAATATTTATAATATTGAAATAAATTCCACTCGAAATTTTCTTTTTTTTTTTTATTAAAATAATGAAGGTCGTTAATTTGATAATTTATCTCAACAAAAAAATTTTTTTGTTGAAAAATGTTACGATTTTAATCACAATTGGCCCAGTTTGTCAGACAAAAAAGATGGATTGATTACGCACTCAATAAAAACAAATACTTAAAATTCTTACTTACTTAAAACTGATAAGCTCTTATAGATTGTATTAAAATAATAATTAATAAAATAATTAAAATAAATAATAATAATAATAATAATAATAGTTATTATTATAATATTATTATTCTTTTATAGATATTATTTTGTATTAAAGAATTTTATATTCAATTATAAAAAATTAAAAACTAAATTCCGCAAATAATTTAAGTTAAATTAAAAAAATATTTTCCAATTATTAAATAGTTTAATTAACAAATTAATGAACGTCCTGAGAAAACTTTTTTTCTTCGCATATTTACTTATTTAAAAAAAAAAAAAAAAAAAAAAAAGGTCAATATTTCAATTGTAAGCCACGCGAGAAACTGTGTCAGTTTTATAAGTCAAAGGAGAGACATTGACAAGAAATTTTCTTTAGAAGCAAATAGAGTAAGTAAAAAAAGTAATTAGTAAGGTGTCACAAACATTAAGTGTTTCGTCTCTTTGAAAGTTTAAACCGTTTTCCCCACCACCATCACTACTACTAGTACCACTACTAGTATATATATATATATATATATATATATATATATATATATATATATATATATATATATATATATATATATGGCTTGCTATTATTAATGGAGCGAGTTATGCACAAAGAGACCAGGGCACCTTTGTGACAGAAAAACATAAAAGAATTCTAACAGCAAAGAATTACGACCTTACGTTATGAAGTTGTCTTGGCTCTTGGTCTCTTTATGCATAACGCGGTCCATTTGTACTTAGTTCTTGTCAACCCAGTTTACGGATGAAAAGTGCAAAAGCTTCACTAGCTCCTATCGTATATAATACAAAAGAGATATCAGGATTTTTTTACATCAAGAGAATTTTTAGGATACCTCCTGCCAAGTTAGTCACATATTGTATAACTAAATTTCATTAGTCGAATTTTTTTCTCCTTTATAATTTTATTAAATGAAAAAAAAAATCACCTTCTCTCAGCTTCAAATTAATTTTCATCAATATTCACACCTTGAGAAGTAAGTCTCGAGAGCTAAATAATTATTTGTTCCAAATAAAATTTTCAAATACAATTTTTAAATAATTTTTTTTTAAATTTAATTAAAAATTTAAAAAAAAATTATTTAAAAATATTATTTAAAAATTATATTAAAATAACTAATTTTTATTTAATGCAAATATTTAGTTGTAATAAAAAAAAATTTCTCAATCTATTCTAATTTATTCTATTTTTGTCAAAATAAAAATAAAAAAAATATATTTAGTAAAATTCTGATAATGACAATTAATAAAACTTTCGAAAAAGAAGATTATATATATAGTTGAGGGAAAAGGTTATGCGAAAGATTAGATGGGGATATTCTAGTTTTTAAGACCTGCAGGTCTCGACACTGACAAATGGATTCGAGCAAGGATTGATAAATTGTCGATCGACTCATACGTTCTTCTATGCAAAGTAGAGCTCGTTAAAGGGAACTCTGAAATAAATATCTCCTCCTAGTTCCTCGAGGAGAATCTCCAATCTCTACAATATCAGCGAAATCGCCTTTCCATCAAACAAAAATCAACTAATTTATTCACCAATAAAAACAAATTTTATCTTATTTATATTTTGCCAAAAAAAAAAATTTTTTTCAATCACTAATTTGTTTTCTAAATATTTTTAAAACGGACTTTCAATTTTCAAAAATTATTATTTTATTAATCGAATTTTAAAATTAAATAAAATTAAACTTTTTTTAAACTGGAATTTTTGATTTAGAGTTTTTTATTAATGAAATTTTTCATCCTTTTTTTCAGTTGATTTATGTTTTTTTTTTTTTTTTATATCAATGGAGTTTTTTTAATTGATGAATTTTTTATTATTAAAAAATGCCTATTATTTAAAAATAGAATTTCCTTTTTTTCGTTCAAAAATTATTTTTTGAAAATTCACACAAAATGTAAAAATACACTTGACCGGAGATGAGGAATATTATAATATTAAAGTTCGACAAAAATTATTAATAGACAACGGGATAAATTTAAAATTCTTCTAATCTTCGCTAAGAGGATTGTGCGGACTTTCATTAAATGAAGATTACAATTGATAAAACGTGTGTTCTCTTAAACAGACCGAGGTTCAATATAAAAGTTAATACTCCTGGCACTTTTATTGGCGTCCTTCAAATCTGATAAGTTGTACAAGCTTCTTATTTGTGTTCCATTAGAAAAAAAAAAATCTCTCATATTATTTTCCTTCTACTCAAAGCAATCGCTAAATAAGAAAATTCATTTTCTAACAACGATCATATTTTTATTTAAACGAAAAATATTGAATTGAAAAAAAAAATTCAATTAATAAATTGAATTATTATTTTTATTAATGTTTAAATAAAATAATTTTTAATTAATTATTATTCGAGAAAATGGGAAATTAGAAAAAGAAGAAATGAAAATAAAAAAAAAAAGTACTCACGGATCATTGGTTTTTGGTAGAAGGGTGCCAAGTTCCTTGATCCTGTCATTGATGTTGAACCGTCGCCGTCGCTCAACTGAAAACGGAAATTGTGCTCGTCAATCATTGCAGTCACTAGATAAGTAATTTGTTCAGCGCCAACTTTGATCTAATCAAAATCTAATCGCCATTTCCGCCTTCTTTTACAAGTTCCTCTCTAACGAGTATATTATTTGATAGAGACTAAAAGTTCCAAAAATTTATTGAATACCTTTTTTTATATTATCTAATTATTATTAATTAGTTTTTAATTCTTTATTTTTTTAAATTACATTAAAAAAAAATAATAATTTTTTACCATTTAAATTTTTGTTTCTTGCAAATAATAAAATGCAAATTTGCATAGTTAGCATAGATAAAGCACTTTTTTAAATCCTTCCTATTATACTCTTGACTTTTTGGTATAAAATTTGTTACATAAAGACGTTATCTAAGTTACGTATATATTTCGAAACTACGTGCAAACTATAAACTAAACTTTAACTACAATAGCTTTAAAGTATAACTTAAAATTTATGCTAATAAAGCTACTGAAATAATATAATTAACCCAAATAATTATATTCTAAATCAATACTAAAGAATATTTTGAAAAAATATTTCGAGAATAACAAAAAAAAAAAAATGAAATCGATAATACAAAGAAAATCAATTCTCTTAGAATTGAAATTATCAAAGTTTAAAGTGCTTTTAAAACAGATTCAGTAAATTTTAGAGATACATTTAGCTGTGGATTTCATTATTCTGTTCATGTATCTCTCAAGTAGTAGAAGTCGAGCCTCTTCGTGTACGCGCATTCCTAAGGCAACTCGTTATCAACACAAGCACGCGTCGCAGACCTGAATCTTCTTAAGACGTAAGCAAAATATACATAACGAGGCGACGATAACGAATGAAAATACAGAGCACCAAATTTTAAACCAACAGGTGTTAATCCGACGATTTTATTAACGGGAATATATATGTATATATGAGGCTGTGCAAATTTTCTAAGCCATACAAATGACACCCGGGATTTTAAATTATCATCATTCATTTTTTTTTTCTTTAGAGATATATTCATGTCACAACATTTCTCACTAAAATTGCACTCATTAATAATCATTATTTTACTCCTTCATTATTGTATTTATACAAAAAGCAAATTTCTTTATCTCAATTTGACTAATTTTCGAAAATTTTCTTTTCTCATTATTTCTATAATCCTGTAATAAAAAGGGATAAACATGTCATGTTGAAATACATTTGACAAGTCACATTTCAAAAAATTTTGGTCCATCGTTGAACGGATGCTGTTGGTCTTAAAAAGTTATACATTTTTTGTAGAGCACTATCTTGTAATGCCTTCTGAGGTATTTCTAAGAAATTTTTTAGCCACTTTGGTCCATTGTAGCTGGGATGCTGTTGGTCCTATCAAAAAATGTTGCATATATATTTTTTGAAGAGCAATACCTTGAGAAAATTTTTTTGCTATTCCCGAGAGTTTTTTTTTGAAAATTTTAAATTTTGAAATTTTTGGTCCATTGCAACTTGGATGCTGTTGGTCGTAATAAAAATTAATCATACATTTTTTGTAAAGCACTTGAAGCATCTTGCATCTTTGTTAAGCATCTTGAAATCTTTCTTGTCTAGAAAATTTAAAATTTTTGGTCCATTGTAGCTCGGATGCTGTTGATCCTACAAAAAGTGCTCCATACATTTTTTATAGATCACTATCTTGGATATAAATTAAATAATTTAAATTTTCTAAATAAATGTATCTAGAAAATTTTTGTCCACATTGGTCCATTGTAGTTAGAATGCTATTGGTCCAATCAAAAACTGTTGCATATATTTTTTGAAGAGCACTAGCTCGATATAATTCTTCTGCTATTTACGAAAGTTTGTCTATGAAATTTAAAATTTTGAAATTTTTAGTCCAATTTGATTCATTTTAGATCGGATGCTGTTGGTCCTATATCAAAAAGCGCTGCAATCATTTTTTGTAGAGCACTATTTTGGGATTATTCTCCACCTATGTCTAAGAGTTTTTCTCGAAAATTCAAATTTTTCAAAATTTTCGTCTATTTTGGTCCATTGTAGCTCGGATGCTGTTGATCCTATCAAAAAATACCTTATACATTTTTTTTTTAAAGCATCATCTAGGGATAACTTCTGTGCGGTAATCCCGAGAGTTTATCTCGAAAATTATCCAATTTGGTCCATATCACATTGGAGGCAAATAAAAAAAAAAGGAATGTTTGTTTATGGAAAAAAATACTATAAGATTTATCTAAAAAAAATTTCTCATAGTAACTCTCTGATTTACTATCAAATTCAATTCTTTCGTTGACAACTGAACCCAATGAAGAACCACGAGCTCGTACGTGATTTAAGCTTCACATGAAATGCAACATTCTATATATATATTCGCAAAACGAACGACAAATTTACCTCCTGGTCTCACTAGAATTACAGTTACGAAAACGAACAGTTTTGGTAGAGACTTTCTCTCTTCAGATTGCTACATCGGCTTGTTTTGAATTTAGATCAGATGGAGATATATATATATATATATAAGAGACAATGTTTTATGTCAGAAAGTTGTCTTGCTTTATTCAGTGAATTTCATTTATATACCTTGATACACTTGATTCATTTTGTAATCATTCATGACATTCATTTAAAAATAATTTTAATTTTCAAATCTAAAACTTTTTTAAATTTAACTGTTTTATATTTTATTTAAAATAAATTTAATTAACAACAACTTGTGGTTGTTAATAAACACATTCATTTTGATTGACTAATAATAAAGTGTGTGTGTGTGTGTGTTTAAATTTTACAATCTGCTATTTATTGAGTATATGAATATCAATTTACAATTATTTTTTTACCTCCCCACAAACCTTTATTAAAGCGAACACACGAAATTAATTTTACATATATATATATACGCGATCCAAAGTTCACGACCCCTTTGTTATTCTTGTTATTAAACGTAAAAAGCTCATTTAAACTTTCATGAAATATTTCAATTTTACAAATTCACTGCAACGAGTTCCAATTGGCAAATTTTAATAAAAAAAAAAAAAAAAACAGCACAATCTGTTCACAAATATTCGAAAAATATAAACATTACACAGTAAAATTATATGTATATATACAGACGAGGGTAAATTATTTGAGTGAGCGGTTTATTACAAAATACTTGAATGAAATATTAGCAAACTGAACTGTGTCAATTACCTTTTATGGGGAAAATGCCCCCAATTACTTTTAATTTAGCCGCGACCAATCTCAAATTCTTTTTTATTATTTTAAATATATTTTTTTATGTCAAAATAACTAAAATTTCAGTAAACTTTTTATTAAGTGATTTAATTAATCTTTGACTATTTTTTTCAGCTTTTTTTTTAATTAATAATTAGTTATTTCTTTTAATGCTGAAGCAAAATGTCATAATGATTAATTATTTTTAACTAATTTATATTCAAATAATAGAATATATTGTAAAAATTGGTTTACTGACCCAGTTACAAGAAAAATCGTTTTTTTTTTTAATAATATCAATAGCTTTATAATGAAAAGAAAATATTTAATAATACTTTATCCTTTATTAAAAGAAACTATTTAATAATAACTTCACTATGGGTAATTAAAATAAAATGTTGTAGAGAAATTTCTTCATTTCATTTATTCATTATTCATATTTGAATTTTTAAATTTAAAACTTAATTAATTGAACAAATATTTAAAAAGAATTGATGATTAAAAAATCATTGACAATGTGACAAATGAATAAAAGTAATGAAGAACCTTTTTTTCTTGTTTTAGAGAAATTTTTTCTTTTAAATCTCTTTTTAAATATATAGCACCGAAAATCTCTCTGGAAATCAATGCCATCCTTGTGCAGTTAATTCAATCAGAGAATAATCGATTGATATGTAATGAACATTTACCGATAGCCAAAGAATAAAGTAATTACTATATATATATTGATTAAATTTTACTTTCAAAATAGTCCAGATTTTTGACAAATAATAATAAAATAATAATAATAATAAAAATAAAAATATTATTATTATTATTAATAATAAAAAATTATTTTTCTAAAATTTTTCTTTAAAAATGATATTTCGAGGCATCAATAAAGTTTATATTCTTTTAGTTTCACATAAAGTCTCTATGAGGTTAAAGGAAAAATATTATCTCAAAAGAAAAAAAAAACAAAGAAAAAGAAACTATCTGTCTGCAATGAAAAAATAAATATATCCTCTCAAAGTTACTATTTACGATGGTAAAAAAAAATATTCAATTCAAATATTCAGTAAAATCAAAAATATACTGAAGCAAAAAATATTATGCAATCTGCAAAATTTATAAATATAGTAAATTTGTATAATGACTATCAAGAATTAAATATAATTTTTGTTATATATATATATATATGAAACTCGTGAAAAATCTAAATGCACAACATGTAATAGAAGATCAAAAAGAGACAAGTGATAAAATGGAGAGAAGGAGAAGAAGAAGAAAACAAGCGCAGAAAGCAGTTTCGTATTGAGAAGGTTTGAAAGCAAAGAGTAACTGCAACGACGCCGGAAAACTTCCCTATGATCCTGAACAGACTTCTTCCTCTCGAGAGGAGGAAACTTCGACTCTGATCCTACTGATTAGATTACGACAGTTAATTCTGAAGAGAGAGAGAGAGAGAGAGAGAGAGAGAGAGAGGACGATCGAACGTGTCCAATTCAAGTCGTATAAGCCGAACACTCGACTTTTTCGCACTACTACGAGAATACCCATTCTTTTCATTTCAGAGGTGAAACTCCCACACACATACTCAATTTCCAATAGTGTACACCTATCAGTTTCACCAATTAGACCTTCCAACATATTCTCACTAATAAATGAAGCTATTCCCAAGTTTCTCAAAAAGACACTCGCCCCTTCCCTACATTCACTGTTTCTCATGTTAATTTTTAACGGCAGCGTATTGTCAAAGGAATCCAATTTTTATTTTTTTAACTTTAAAACTTAGAATAATTTTTCTTTTAATTTAAGGGAAAAAAACAGATTTCATCCGTTTCCATGGTAACCATTCCATAGTAACGTTGCTACGGTATTCGTTTCCATAGCAATCGTTGCTATGGTAACCGTTTCCATATAGTAACTGTTGCTATAGTAACCACTTCCATAGAAACCGTTGCTATACGGTATCCGTTTCCATAGCTACTGTTGCTACGGTAATCGTTTCCATAGAAAGTGTTGCTACGATATGCATTTCCATAGTAACCGTTTCCATAGTTACAGTTGCTATAGTAACCGTTTCCATAATGTTTCCATAGTAACCATTTCCATAGCAACTATTGCTACGGTATGCGTTTCCATAGTAACCGTTTCCATAGTTACCGATGCTATAGTAACCCTTTCCATCGTAACCGTTGCTACGGTATGAGTTTCCATAGTAACCGTTTCTATAGCACCGTTGCTATGGTAACCATTTCCATAGCAACTGTTGCTATGGTATGTGTTTCCATAGTAACCGTTTCCATAGTTACTGTTGCTATAGTAACCATTTCCATATTACCGTTACTACGGTTTGAGTTTCCATAGTAACCGTTGCTATGGTAATTTCTATATTACCGTTGCAATAGTAACCGTATCCGTTTGCAAAAAAATAAACGGTGAAAAACATTTTCCTCTTAATAATATTAACTCATCTAAAATTTTGAATATAATGTTTTTAAATTTTAATTGTACCATAATAAAAATTTCTTTAATGTTACCAAAAATTCAAATATTTTTCCCCGTTTCCTTATTGAATAAGAAGAAACCAAACCAAAAAATTGAAATGGAAAAAAAAATCTATTCGCTCCACAACTGAAAATTTTCAGACGAGATTTTATGTATATAAACGTTTCCTTCAAGTTTTTTTATATGTGTAAAACGCACTCTCTCTCTCTCTCTTTCTCTCTCCCTCTCACTGAAGATAGGGTGGAAACCTTTAATTCTTAGCACGAAAGGAGAAAAGAGATTCCAGCAATCGGATCACGTATGCACAAGGGTCACGTGTGAAAAACGTGCGACACTTTATCCGGAACGACTGTCTTCCTTTTTTTTTCGTGAATGTACATATGCCGGGGCAAAAGAGGTATATGCAGGAGAACTCCAATACCCGATAAGAGGTTGCGGTTCAAAAAAAAAGAAAGAAAGAAAGCACGAGAAAGAGAGAGAGAGAGAGAAAAAAAATGTGTGTGTATATACCTATATGAAGAATAAAGAAAAGGGGGATGTGAATCGTTTGCGCTAAATTTAAAGAAAGAAAGAAAGAGAGAGAGAGAGAGAGAGAGAAAGAGAGAGAGAGAGAGAGAGAGAGAGAGAGAGAGAGAGAGAGAGAGAGAGAGAGAGAGAGAGAGAGAGAGAGAGAGAGAGAGAGAGAGAGAGAGAGAGAGAGAGAGAGAGAGAGAGAGAGAGAGAGAGAGAGAGAGCGAAATTGTTACTAGTATGCAGCGCAGATGTTTCTACCTAAATTCTATTTCACCTTGCTTCCTAATCTTTTTAGTCAGTATACAATTTATCAAGATAATTTTTTTTTCTTCTTCTTCTTTCTTTTATTCCTCCTTTTTGCGTGAAAATACACCTTTTTGAATTTTAATCACTTTTTTAAAACCACATTTTTATTCAAATTTATTTATAACTAATTATGAATTATTATTATATTATTTTAATTGATATTGTAATTTAGAAATATATAAATAAATTTACTTTATTCTGAAAAATTTTTCTAATCTTTTTACATTAAAAAAAAAAAAAAAAAAAAATTATATACTCGAAATTGCTAATACTATATATAAGTATAGGAATTGTTTTATATTTCAATGGAAAAAGAAAAATTATATAATCCTTGGTAAGGCATTAATTAATTAATATTCTGAGAACAATTATTCTCCTGACAATTAATCAAATCATGAAAGAAACAGAAGTCAGATATAATGCAGAAATGTTTGTGTGTGTGTTAGACAAGGTTGATATTCAAGGTCTTGATTCATGAATGAAAATTATTCCGGAATCAAAAAATAGAATTCTATCTTTCATTTAATATCAAAAAAAAAAAAAAAAAACAATAGCAAATTTTTACTAAAAAATAAATAATTAAAAAAAAAATAAATTTTTTATTAGAAATTTACCGAAATTAGCAAATTTTTAGATTTTCTTATTGTAATTTTTTTTTAAGCAAAATTAACCAATTGACACTTTGAAAAAAAATTAATAGGGTAAATGTACTAATTGCGGCGGGATTCGAGTCAAAACATCTTTGAAATAGAAAATTCGACATTTCTATTTTATACACTCAAATTTAAGACTTATTAAACTAAAAGCTTATGTTATTAAGATATTAAAAAAAATTTTGAACTTCATAAAAATCGATTATTTAAACAAATATGAGAGATTAAAATTAATACCGTAATTTTCTATTGCTGCGCGTTTGTATCAATTTCGTTGACCAAAATTACGTGTATGTTGAAAATACTTTGCCCGCCGAAATTGGAGCCAATGGAATTTAAAATGTTTCACTTGCGGCGGGGAAAAAAATTTGATCTCAAATAATTAAATTAATAATTGTTTAAATGTGCATCTTTATAAGTAATTGTATAAAAAAAAAATTGAAATAATTTTTTTTTAATCATTTGACAACAGTTATATTAAATATAATAGTAATAATAGTTAGTTTTTTTATAAACGCACCGTAATTGATGCACTCGCCGTAATTGATATACACTTATCCTATACACGGAAAAAAATAGTTCGTGAAACTTTCGTAAACTATAGTTATTCACTTTTGGACGGGCCCAAAGTTTGGAAATCTTTCATTAACTTTTTTTCAAGATTCCACAAACTTTTTTTTTGTCCCCGTGCGCAGACATTGATCTTCATATGAAAAGAGTGATGAACGTTCGTAAAATTTTGGAAAAAAAGTTAATAAAAAATTTCCAAACTTTGGGACCGTCCAAAAGTGAAAAACCAGTTTACCAAAGTTTCGCGAACTATTTTTTTTGACTGAATTCAATAAAAATTGTTATTAGATTTAAAAAAAATCAAATAGATTTCTGTTAATTATAATTTTTCGCCACTAGAAAGTGATTTTCGAGTGAAATAGATAGAAATAAAATATAGTACTCACTCATATTATGATTGTCTTTCTTTTGTCTGTCTTTGGCAAGGGCGTGGATTTCTGCGTCAGTGAGCAGCAAAGGTTCTGGTTTTATTTGAAGGTCTGGAAGACTTGTTAAACTTCCTGCTTGACTGTCCTTTAAGCCATCGCCCAGAGATCCTGCCTCAAACGACAGAATATCATCCAAAAGGTCCTCCGCCTTAAAAGAAAAATAAAAAAAAGAAAGGTCAGAAAGTACAATTTAACCTTTTAGCTGCGGGAAAATTTTAGTACAAATTGACCTGTCATAAAATCCAAAATTTATACATAAATTAACTGGATATATCAGGTAGAGTCCCCGACCTGATTGCTGGTCGATATATCGACCACCCCCGCAATCAAAAAAATGTGCAATAAAAAAAACCGAATCCGGCTAAAAATTGGTACTCGGGGGTTTTCGGGGTCGCTGATTACGAATCTGATGTTAGTTTTTCAAAATTCAAAATTGAATTTTGTCTAGAAACATTAAATATGTTGTGTTTCTTGAGTGGTCGATATATCGACCAATCCCGCAGCTTAAAGGTTAAAAAAAAAATTATCCCTACAAGTGAAAAATGATATTTTATTCATTTAAAAAAAAATTTTTTTTTTTTTTTTTGATTAAATTTTTGGGCAAAATTAGATTTATAAATTTTGAATTGATTAAATTTAAACGATGATAGAGAAAGAGGAAACACGCGCTGTCTCTACTTGGACCAAATCTTTGGTTTCCGTTTAGGAGGTATTAAATTTGTCTGCTGGTCACGGCGACTTGATCCTTAGAGAAATCGATACTATCGATAGACGTGTCATCGAGCAACCGGTATTATTGATGGCGGCGCTTTAACGCTAGTTAATGCGATTTATAGCTATTCGCCTGGGCGCCTTGCTCGCTCGTGTGTCCCGTATATACGAACGTCTTTGGAGAATGAACGAAGCGCACGTCGTTAATAATTCCACGATGTCGTCGCCATCAGTAAATCACATCTTACCTTAGAAATCGGGGAAGCGCCCTGTTTTCAGGGCTTTCCGTAAATTGTGAATGACCCAACTATATGAAACGTTGGCAACGAGACGATTTCCCCCACTCTCACAAAAAAAAAAAAAATAACAAAAAAATGTTATTAAAATTTTTTTTTATTTAAACTTTTTTTCTAAATTTGAAAAAATTAACTATTTGCGGCGATGAGATTTTATTTTACAAGAAAAATGCATTCAAAAACAAATGTAAATATTTTTCTTTAGAATATTATTATTTTTATCGAAAACTTAATATATTTATAATGAAGGAAAATGATTTTTTAAAATCAGTTAAAAACTAAAATAAAAGTAAATTAGTTAGTAAACGATTTTAAATCTATTTAGTAATTTATTGTATACTAATAAAAATTCAATATTGACAAATTTCACTCGATAATTATGTATACTAATGTTATTTGAAATATTACTCTAATCGAAAAAAAAGAAACTTTCTGAAAACTAAAGACAAGTTTTTAAATTAAATAATTCTGAATTTCTCTTGCTTTTTTTTTCTTCTTCTTTTTCCTTCTTTGACGAATATTTTCAAACTGACTTTGATAAATGTGTTTGATGACACTTCCATTCTAAAAAAACGTGAATCGATAAAACATTCTTCTTACAATTTTTTTTTCCGTGTTTCTAAAATTCCAAGATAAAAATTTCTTGTAAACAATTATAACACGAGAGATTTTTCACACACAAAAAAAAAAAAAATGAGGAAATCGAAGGTTTTTCTATATTGATCGTTTGAGTTATCATCATTATAAATTTTTCCACGTAAATTCCAAGCTATTTTCTAAGCTTCTTTCAGAAGAATTCTTACATGAAAAAAAAAAATAAAAAATAATTGAATTACAAATTATATTTATGTGAGACATTTTAATTCAATTTCGAATTCTTGTCTTTTCATAAATCTTAACAATAACGAAAAATCATTTTCTTTCTCTCTCTTAACATTTTTGTCGAGAAGTGTGTCAGTAGGTAAACACAATGTACTTGAACAATAAATAAACTCTCCAGTTGTCAGACTGCTTGCGTGTAATTAATGTAACTTGTTAATTTAAATTTTAACTTCATGTTTCTTTTCTCGTACAACATATGAGATATTGCACAACACACAATATTTATATATTTTACATTCTAGTAGATAATTTATAATTAGTTCAAAATTAATTTCTCCTATTAAAAAAATTCTCCAAATTCATATATATATATATTTATATATAAATAAATAATTCGTAAAAAAAAATTTATATACAATTTTTTTACAGCCCTCCAAAGAAAAAAGCTTTACATTTTCAAAAGAAAATCTTAATCACGTATTCCGCAAAGAAAAAAAAAAATATCGAATGTCTTTGAAAAATATATAATATGAAATAAAATGAAAACTTTTCAACTTGAGCGAGAAACCATCTTATAAAAATGAAAAAAAAACAACCCCCGCTTTGATGGGAATCAAAGCAAATCGTTTTGACATTTAAATAAATAAATAAATATATAAAAAAAAGTATCAAAGTTTGTGAAAGAGATCTAAGCGAGTATACACAATCTCGGATAAATATCGGAATATATATATATATATATATATATATATATATATATATATAAAAGTCGTGTCAGTTTGTTCGGCTGATTCAACCGGATTTGGATTTCGATCGACAGATTCCCTATATCGCGTGTTATTTTGTGTGTGAATGCGGTTCTCTCTCTCTCTCTCTCTCTCTCTCTCTTTCTCTCTCTCTCTTCTTGAAACGTCTCGCATCGGTCGAACATACAAAGATTGCAAATAACCGAATGTCGATGGGTCTCGAATGCGCGGAAAAAGAGTCTAGGAGAAAGCATGAAATGAGAAGTTTCAACGAAACGAGTTACCCCACTCTTCTTCCCCTTCCCTCCCCCCCCATTTTTATCCAATGTTACACGTAACTTTTCAATATATTTCCTCGAAAAAGCTTTCGATAATAAAATCTGCACACGACGATACATCCGACAAATGCAATGGGGCACGTCGCGTCGCTTTCAACTTGCCGTGGAAATTCTCTCTTTCTTTCTCTCTCTCTCTCTCTCTCTCTCTCTCTCTCTCTCTCTCTCTCTCTCTCTCTCTCTCTCTGGGAGCTTGTTTACTCGCATAACAAATGAAACATGCTATATTGTCGCATTATATTTTTTTATATAAATTTATATTTCTCTCTCACTCATCGTGAATAGATTCTAGAATAAAATCAAGATTAATTGTGTCCATTAATACAATAATATATATTATATATAAACACGTTCCCGTTAGCGATTTTTAAATTAGGTCTGAATAATTCTTCTCCTTTTATATACTTAAGAAAACAATGTACAGTCACTTTTTTTTCTTACCGTTTTTGCCCGTAAAGAATAATTTTTCATATATTTATAATACAACTTGCAATTGCAAATTCTCAGAATGAACGAACAATTTTATATTGGAAATTGTACAGCCTTCAAAGTGGCATAAAATATCTTGCAGAGAGAGAGAGAGAGAGAGAGAGAGAGAGAGAGAGAGAGAGAGAGAGAGAGAATGTATTCATTTCGTTTCATAAAAAGAAACTTGTTGCAAATGTGTAAATATGCATCAGTAACGTCCTTGAAAGTTGTCAACTTGCTAAGATTATATATTATATCGATGAGAAACAATCAAATTCCTAATATCCTTTAAATGGCAACAAAATTTCATTTCTATTCCTTTTTTAATCAATTTATTCTTTGATTAATATAATTCAATGTAATTTTAATGATTTTTCTTTCATTTAAAATAAATAATAATATAATATGTTTGATGAAAATGAAAATAATTAAATTCTTAATTAATGAAAGTGATAAAAATAATTCTAAAATAAAACTCAATATATCAATAAAGAAAAAAATTTATTTAATTCAAATAATCAGTTAACTATAATCAAATAAATATTTATTTGAAATCAAATTATTTTTATTAGAATTAAAGAAAAATTGCATTTTGAAACAATAACTTCTCTATATTCAAAACAAATACCATTTAATTGACGTAGAAAATTATTTGGTTCAAATAAATAATTATCTGATAATGAATGTAACCAATTTTATTTAAATGAAAATAAATTTTTTTTTTTTTTTTTCATTAATAAATTATATAAATCACAAAATATTCACAAAAGGAAAGAAAGTATTTATAAAATGGAAAAATTTCTTTTGCTGTTAATTTATATTAAGCTGCGAGGCTTTTTTTTTTATCTTGACATCGCGCGATGAAACACTTCGAGACTCATAATATTGATATGTCTCTTTGCACTTTATCATTTTACATCACATACCTGCAATGATTTCGTAATGATTAAAAAAAAAAACTTCTTAAAATATAAGTAGAGATAATGACGTCAATATCATTATCTCAATTGATAAATATAATATATAAATTGCTAAACTAACAGATTTACATTCAATTTTCTCTAAATAGAAAATAAATTAGTATTTATATAATATATATATATATATATATATATATATATATATATATATATATCTCAAAAAAATATTTATTCTTTTGGTTCAAAAAGAAAGACATTTCATCCCTTAAAATCATAGAATACTTCATGTCATAGAGTACTTGTACGGTTGCCATGGTAACAGTTGCAATAGCAACCGTTTCCATAGTAACCGTTGCTATAGTAATCATTTCCATAGAAACCGTTGCTACGGTATGCGTTTCCATAGTTACCGTTGCTATAGTAACCGTTTCCATGGTAACCGTTGCTATAGTAACCATTTCCATAGAAACCGTTGTTACGGTATCCGTTTCTATAGCTACCGTCGCTATGGTAGCAATTACCATAGCATCTACTTTTATTATATACAAACTAATTTTTGACCTGAATTTTTTTTTAGTATATAAAAAGAAAATTATCGGTTACAAATATTATCAATAATTGTAAATAAATGAGGTTTTCCTTTAAAATTCCCACTTAATGAGGTTTGATTGTATTTTTTTTCATATAAAATTAACCATTTAATAAATAATAAAATAAATAATAATTAACCTTTAATTAGTATACCCCCTTTAAAAGTAATATGATAAAATTGAAATATACAACAAAAGAGAAAATTCGAATTGTACCCGAGGTAAATATGAAGAGAAATTATACATTGTATTAGTTGTAT